TAGAGCCGCCCTTTCCAGATAGATATGTGAAGGGGGAATTCCTAGGAGAAGCTCCATGGCTGCTGTGGGCATAGTGCTGAAAGCTCCTGTTATTGCCAAACAGGCCTGTCTTTGTAGTCCTTTGAGCTTGGTTTCGGCAGTGGGCTGTTGTCCCTTCTCCCACCAGAGTAGTGAGCCATGTTATCATTGATCTGATGACCATGATCAAAGATAATCCTACTGCCATGATAAATGTATAGGGTGTCACGAAAGGTTTGGTACAAACTTCTAGGGATGATAGATCTCGTAAGAATTAAGTTTTTTTTTTGATAAACATATGTCCGGAAATACTTTGCTGTCCAGATACAGGGTTTTAAGCTTTGTAAAAAAAGTCAATTTTTTTATTTATTCTTCGAAATGCGTTGGACGAATTTAATGAAACTTTCACAGTTTGTTAACACCTTTATGGGGTATCTTTTGGACTGCTCAGTAACAAGAAATTATCATATCAGAAGATGTAAGATGTTCTATCAGCATTCAAATAAAATTTCAAATAGCACTCATGACTATTCCAAATTTATATTATTTGTTCGACTCGTTCAGCTGACGCATTCGAATCGGCTTGATAAATGAATATTCGATTTTAGGAACACGGTTTTTTACTTTTTATTACCATGTCTGACGCAGCAGCCGCGACTTTTGAAATTTCGGTCTTTGAAAAGTAAAACGATGAAATTTGAAATTAGCCATGCAGTAATCACGATTAATCTTCGATTATTACAGTTTGACGATTAATCATAACTGTCGGTTATTTTATACCTAAATTAAGCAACTCACCTTGAAGAAGCGACTCCTAGCAAAATTAATTTTTTTTTATATCTGCAACCAAGTCTGCAACTTTAACTTACTTTTCTGTACTGTTAATCACAAACAAAAGGCCTATAGAGGACATAACAATGTTCTGGAGATGATTTTTTTTAGCGAATAGTCGCAATTAAGGATTTCAGTTCAATTTAGTTTCAAGTACAAATTTGAGCAATAGAATTTTAGAAACTGGCATCAGATAAATTTCACTAAACAATTCCATGGCATCATTTAACTTCCTTAGCTTCCTCGAACCTGTGCACAAGAAGTTACTCAAATAATTTGTTGTGACATCACTTATTTTGCAACTACACCGTGTTTCCAACTTATGGAAACTTATAATTTTGAATTATTTAGTAATTCCTTGCTGTTATCAAATATGTCACTGTTTTAAACATATTTAAATAAAATGGAAAGTTAGAGATTCCTTCATTATAATGCTATTATTAGTACTTCTTCAGTTCCCATGGTACTTCACTTCCAGTCTACTAGATAATTTCTAAGATTTCACTGCGTAATTTTCTCTCCATTATTGCCTTGGATTTACGGTTGGAGAGAACGACAAGAACTGTCATTGAACGCAAAAGCACCAATTCTTCTGAAAACTTCCTTTTGGTTCACTAGAACTTATTTTCAGACATTCACTTTGAAATTTTTTTTAAAAAAACTTTACCTTCTCGATGGTCACCTGCCGTCAGGAGAGGAAATCCCTCGGGAAATCCTGTACAGACTTGATGGCGGCTTATTCATATTCATATTTACGGGCCAAGACGAAAGTATCGACGACATGGTGTGCTGTGGCTTCACCTGCACTGCATTGATGTTCTTCACCTACCAATACCCAAATGCTATCAATTTCTTGTTGCCTGTTTGGGTTAGTCGCTTGACACTTCCTATATTGGCGGACTTGGTGCCACTGGACAATTTCACAATGGCTTAGGGATTGAGCTTGTTGTGTCAGGGGATCGGGAAGTACCACCATTAGCAGGTGAGAATTATCGAATTTGGTGTGATGCTAGTGAAAATCTCAAAAATTATCAAAACTTCCAGGATTACTCTTTGACATCACGCATTCTTATGAGCAATCGTTCTACCATGCTGGTTTTTGGGTGATTGCGTCCGGACTATGGGTATACGGTATACGAAAAATACGAAAATTATTGGAAACGAGACCTTAGTGAACGATAGCAAGTGTTGAATTTTTGAATTTGTTGCAGATGGTATACTGGTTTTTATAGTTTCTAAACAATATTTTCAGAAACGTGATATTTGAGAAAGAGGCAAATAGAAGAGGTTTTATAAGTATTGTTAATGTAAAATATTTTTGTTTTAAATATTAAATTGGCTCGATAAATTGTTTCATTTTTATTTTTATGATTAATTTATCTTTACCTACATGTATCAAATTCATAACAAATTTCCTTTTTTTTTCTACAGCAGAAAAATAATGGGAAAAATGTCCATTTCAGCCAATAAGCAAATGGAAAGATTTATTTATTTCAACATAATAATCCGTGAATCGTGAATCATCACTGAAGAATGACTCGAACAAAAAATGCTATGATGTTAAATAAAGAAAGGGTCCGGGGTTTTGTAAATAAACTCCAAGATAGATCGACAGTCGACTATTTACCATCGCGGAAGAATTATCTATCAAAAAAATTATAAAGCATTTTGAGTTTTAGGGAGTTATTATTCTTTGGGAAACCAATAAAGTTCTTAATAATAATATTCTTGACCACATTTTCCAATTCATTAGTGTCTGATGGCCGCAACATGTTGTAACCCCCTGTTTTACTGCGGATATTGAGTTGTAACTAAACGAAAAATGGGGAAGGAATCTCAGAAATGGTAAGCGTTGGAAAGCTACTATTCTCATTGGGTAAGTTTATCTTCTATTTCCATGTTAGCATATTTTCTGAAAGTACATACTGAACCATAGTTAGTTAAATGTAAAAATTCATTATCAAACAAGAATGAAAATTCTTGGCGCCCTAGAATTTTAATTTTATTTTTAATAATGAATTGAAAATAATCGGGATGAAGAAGCATCTTTATACATGTTTTACAATGGACAAGGTCCTTATTTGCTTTATGTTTCTAGAGGATCAGTGCAAATATGTGTCTTGTTTAGGTTGATATCATCAGCTCAGTGTCCTGGATCCACTGCTGAACATAGAGAGCTCCTCAAATTGTTTCCAGGTCTCCCTTTTCTATTCTAGGCAATGTCATGATTCTTTTCAAGCACGTCATCACATTACATCAGGTAGGAAGTCTTCACAGTTTTCTGGACCATTCGCATTCGCACCCGTCAATCTAGCAACATTTTTGGCCCATTTCATCAGCCTGATGGCTTTTGCTCTGGATACTGCACAAATGACCACCTTCAATGCCTGAGTAACCTTGGTTGGTGTTTACAGAGAATTTAAGTCAGCAGGGGCTTTATGGATCAGACTCTGGTGTGTCTAAAAAGATAAAGACTTTTTCAGGAGATATGATCTCCAACTGCCCTTCAGGCACTTCACAGGTACTAGAAAAGTCCATGTATACTTTTATCCAGTACCTGTGACAGGTACAGGAACCAGAATTTTGGTAAGCTACTTGTAATTGAGTGAGTTTGGTGTTGGACTATGAGCATTTGGCTGTAATGTAATGTATGTTTTCAATAACTTTCTTTTTTAAATGATTACTATTTTTTACTAATTGAAGTTGCATTTCACTGATATCGAGAACAGCAATTCATGGTTTGATTATCTCTTTTTAGTATTTGGTGTCCCCTGGGGAAGCCGTACGCCATAATAGGTCAGGATCCCATTTGTTACACGATTATACTATTAAAGGTAAGTGTAGCAGTGGGGCACTACCGAATGCCGGCAAGAAATGGCTGGATTATAATTTGCTGTTGGGTATCGGCTGCACAATGTAGATTCAGATTCAGTCTAATGCGGCTTAATAGAATAGCTGAATGCTCTGCAACTTTTCCAGGCCAAATTGTTTTTGTGTTTTGCAGATGAAGAGACAAGTGATCATGTTCTATATTGTAGCAGAAGTGTTCTTCTGAAGATTATTCCAGAAGAACATTGCAAGTATGCTTTTTTATTGTGTCTAGTTTAGGTTGGTATCACACAGCCTTCTGGGACCACTACTGAAGTTAGATTATCTGCAGATCTTCGATCCTTTTCTAGGCAGTTGCAATCTGGTTTGTCCTGATTTTTTTCAGTTGGGTCATCATTCCACCGTAGGAAGTCTTCGCAATTTTTTTGACCTTCCGCACCCCTGAATCTGGCAATACGTTTGGCCCATTTCATCAGCTGACTTGCGCTCTGTATACGGCACAAATGTGAACCTTCAATGTCCAAGTCCCTACAGAGAATTCAGATCAACAGAGTTTTTATGGATCAGACGCTGGGGTGTCTAAGAAAGTAATTTCTAACCTCAATACTAAATTTTCAAGGTACTAAACCTATTATTTTTTCCAGATGAAGAGACAGTGATCATGCTCTATATTGTAACAGAAATGTTCTTGTTTAAAGGAGATTATTCCAGAAGAGGAACAGTGCAAGTATGTCTTTTGTGTGTCTATCTGCATCATACAGCCTCCTGAATCGACTGCTGAATTATGGAAAGTGGTCGGTCTTGGCTGTACATTGTAATTTCAAAGTGGGTTAGGCCTAATGGAGAAACCACTTGAAAACCAAAAAAAAAAACGCATCAACAGCTCGTACCTCGAAAGTGGTGTGGAAATCGGGCAATTTAAATTACAGACACAATAACCCATAGTGAATTTACTCTCAAATCTTTTTATTTGCAGGATTTGCAAGAGATGAGATGAGACATAATCACCAATTTGGAAAAGAACCAACACTAGAATCCATGAATCCAGAATTATATAAGACAAAAAAAAATTTTTAGACTTTCGGTGTCCGCACCAGCAATTGGAAATTCTAAGAGATTTTTCTTGATTTTGTCAGCAATTTTTGGAGCAATTTCCAAATTTCACTAAAAAGTATTAGAAACGGTTGGCAGCCTGGTCTAGGCCGTCTATTGCAATGACACAATGACATATCATTCATTGCCTTAATATCCCGTTAAAATGAAGCAAGTGACTTTTTCAAACTATCTAACACGTAATAAATAAGCATTATTTAGATGCTTACCTTGTAGCTTGTCGCTTACTACTGACGTCATCCATATCTGGGCTCGAACTACTTGGAGCCAGGGTAGCGGTTCCTGTTATGTCGAGTCCTGCTGCGTTGGTTCCTGCTGCGTCGTAGAGCGATGCTGATGTAGGCACTTGGTGCCCCTCCAGTCTGACAAACTAAAAGAAAGGAATACATCATTTTCAACAATTTTGCAAGCAGCAAATTTTGTGAGTACCTATTTGAAATGTCTACTTGAAGATTCAAATATTCAAATAGCTACCTACCTATATGAAATATATGAATATCGAAACATTCGAACAACTATACTTGCCCGATATTCAAATACTAACATTTCAACAATTCCTAGCGCTAGTATGTATAGGCGAATCGGGTAATTTAAAAATCTGGGAGCTGACAGCAATGGTTAGATAGTTCGACCTTTTTCTACTGACCGGATATAAGAAAGAATTAGCGTGCATGCAATACAAAATTAATTAATTAAAAATAATGGAAAAAAGCCCCATTGGGACCTCAGATGCACGAACGCGCCACCTAGTATTTAATTCAAATTTGTGTTAATCAATCGGCCGTAGAAGGCCAACCACTGAAAGACTTATCTTGATTTCAATCGAACTTAAGCATTGTTTTGATCTGCTTCCTCCCAATATGTCTTTTTTCCCGGACTTGTAGCGTCAACTAACCGAGTGATGATCTCACTTTGGTTTTTTTTTTGGCCATTGTATGTCTAATATTAGAAAGGCGATCCCAATCTCAGGCCATAAAGGGCGTACCGCTAAATAGATATTTTAATCCTTCTTCAAAGAAATTCTTTCAGAATACGTTTTCAGTCACATCAATATGAATTTCAAGTAGGCTGCAGCTTGAACTTTAATTTTATAATAATTTTAACTCGTTTTAAATTTAACTTTTCATTTGGTTTTGATTTAATGTGTGCGACTGTTTTTGTTTTATATCGAAATGTATGCCTCAATTGTTGAACGTTTACAAAAATGATATAATTATGTGAATATTATTATTGTAAATCCTATGTAACATGGTAAAGCCAGCTGTATCCAATTTTGTATATATTATTAAATTTTGATGGGTGTAGGCTTATGTACCTAAAACATTCAATTCAATTCTGAATAATAATAGATTTCACAGTAAACACCAAATACCGCTGCTAACTGTATGAGGATCGCTAATTATTGCGTCTAATAAGTGCATTTCATAATAATTGTATTGTTTGCATGAGAGATTAACGCGATTATGTTAGACTTTGCACTAAATAATTGATTCAACCTAATTTCCCGAATATCATGGAGAGAGTTGAATCCACCTCGGAGCTATTCGGAATTTATGGAAAAGTTCCTAATAAACGACCACAAAGGATTGTTCTATTAAAATTCCATTGATTACAAACAGAATTAAAAAAGAACATTATAATAACAAGGATAAAACCAGGTATTTAAAGGCAATCTTGGAAATCAACAATGGCAACGACAATCTGACAACGTTACAATATAATAATATACCAATTTGGTGTATCATTATTGGTTGTTGGAGCGAATGACGTCATAATCGGCGTTTGCAATGATGCTTCAAAAGTAGGAATTTATATTTTTTAGAAAAAACTAAACACAACTCAAATGTTGCCCAAAATAGTGTTATTATACTTGATTTGTGTTCTAGAAATATTTCACCCATTTCGAAAAATTCTTCTTTTTTTGATCGGAAGCCAGAATAAGTACCCAATTATAATTAGGGGACTGATTATTTTTAGATTGATGATCGGAAATAGCAGTGTTGTTTTTTTGTCATATTTGTAGCTTTTCATCCTAGCATTGGATTGTTTGCCTGATGTACGGTTCTTCGCGAACAATACAAGATATTTTAATAAACAACATTACATTTCTTAATTCTTATGGGTGTTTTTGTTTTTAATTTGCCAAAATCATTGGACAGCAGATCATGACCTTTATGACAAACAGTAATATTGTATTCCTGCAATTTTAAATATGGAAATGAGCAAAGGATGGAAAAGTAATGCTCTTACAGGGGTGATAGTAATGGTTTCATTGATTCCAATCCAACTTTGCAGAAAAAGCCATACAAAAACAACTTTTTTGAAAGAAAAATGATGAAAATATCCCTTAATATAGAATGCAAATTTTTCTTTACGGCAAAAAAGCGGGTTATACTCCACGCCTGATTACCATGATATAAGAGATTTGCATTATTAATACAAAATGAATATAGAAACCAAATAGGTATTTCAAAGAAAAACGATTTTCTTTGATCCAGTATTTACAAAAAAAAAACACAGAATAACAAATATGCTAATAATTCTGTTACTGGTTGAGCTTTGTTGTTATAACAAATACCAGGCTATACAATAAAAATTACATTGCTCAATCTGTTCCCAGCTACCACCAGTTGAAGAATAAGAAATAACTCGTTAGAGGCAACACTTCCATGAGGAACCAGAATTGCATTCGTGTGGTTGAGTTCTGAGGTCAGGGTCAAAAATGTTCAATCAAACTTCTTCGATATTTTGTTACTTAAGTGGCTTAGTAAATGAGTGCGAGAATACTTTTCGAAACATATATAAATTTCGTATTGTCGTCTCGAGGTGCTTATTATACACCTGTTCAAGCCTTCTGTAATCGTCCGGTAAGGCCGATCGATAATAATTAACTTGCTGGCTAGATTATTCCTTCAATATTCTAGTCAGGAGTCGATCCAGTTAGTACGAATTACAGGTTTAAATCCGCTATGTTTGTTTGTTTTATAACAATATCATGGTATTTATAAAAAAAATGCCATATGATTTTTACCACTCACACTAGTACCTAAGCTTAGTTTTCAGAAACGTTAGATTTTATAATAATAATACAGCAGGATTCATCCAAGACAACTCATAAGCCAAATCCAAGGCAACGCGGCAACAAACGGAGACATAGAACAAAATCCGGCAACATCGCGATAAAACCTGCGCATGCGCCGCCTAGCAAGTACGAAGGCCGAACAAAACCCGGCAACACCGGCGTATCACCTGCGTTGGCACAATCCTATAAAAGTAGACTCAAGCAGCAGGAATTTTCAGTCGGTCGATTTTTCATCCCCGGAATAATGTTAACCAAACATAAAAAACTAAGTGTGCAGAACACCCGATCCATAATAGCAGAAGTATAAAAGTAGGCACTTCGCAGCAGCTTTCAATTATTGGTGATACTTATTATCAAATTTGATGTCCTTCGTTATATATTTTATGTCAATTTAATGGAGAGTGCAAACATGTTTGGAATCCATTTTGACGCACACTTTTATTATGCCACATGAAAACTTTCATAGAGCTATCAAAAATATGCAGTTGAAATGCGAAAAATCGAATATTTTTTGCGCGGATGTAATATCTAAGCATAAAAAAACAGGACATTAATGCCCACTATAACAAGTAATAGTGCATAATTTATACAATGTCAAAATAAAATATTTTTTGAGCTAATCACCTAACATAATGTCGCGGCTTTGGGTTGCCTGCTGACAAAAATCTTGGGTTTGTCGTTCGTTTCGTTTATTCCAAAAATCAAAGTCCAATTAACACAGCAATAATTTATTCCACTTAACAAAACACTCTGACACTAATTACTTTATTAACAAACTCAACAATTAATCTCTTTACAATCACTATTTAATTCGTATCACAGTCGAACTGAAAACTAAACTACAAACCAATGCCGGCCTTCTTATATATCCCTAAATCTATTCCTGTAAAATCTAGAATACACGATAATATTATTTTCCCGAATTAAGTAGAATAATTCACTAGATTCTAGTATACTCAAGAGATAATACCGAGAGATTCTTGACAGCCTGGCGGACGTTTAGCTTATTGTGACACTGCCCTCCTCTTAAGGTTGATCGTCCCGATCAACTTCTCGCCCATGATATTTCGCCAACCTGTCCAGATGTACAACTTTCATCTTACTCCTGGTGTTGCGCTGGACTCGATAAACCAAATCATTGATCCTCTTGATTACTCTATAGGGTCCTTCCCATGCTGAAGACAATTTCGGTGATACTCCTTTCTTCCTTACTGGGTTATATAACCACACTAAATCACCTTCTTGAAATCCGACCGAATTGGCCTTCAAGTCGTATCTGGTCTTCATTCGGTCACTGGCTAGTTGAATATGCTCCCGAGCAAAATCATGGATACCCAGAAGTCGTGCCCTTACTTCGTCGGCATAATCTCGGATTTCTCTTCGTTCTTCTTCGGGTACTCCAAACATCAGATCGCAAGGTAACCTGAGTTCCCTTCCAAAAACAATTCTAACCGGACTTTCACCTGTTGAATCGTGAACAGCCGCTCTGTAAGCCATTAAAAATAGAGGCAAATGCTTGTCCCAATCTCGTTGGTTCTTTGCGACCACTTTTGTCAGGTGTTCCTCTATGGTCTTATTGAATCGTTCCACCATGCCATCAGATTGAGGGTGTAAAGGTGTTGTCCTTGTCTTACGAATGCCCATGATCTCACAAACTTTCTTAAAGATAGCAGATTCGAAGTTTCGTCCCTGGTCTGAATGTAACTCTAGTGGCACACCATGACGACTAAAAACTTCGTCCACTAGCACCTGGGCAACAGTGATGGCTTCTTGATTGGGAATAGCGAAAACTTCTGGCCATTTACTGAAGTAATCCATGATAACTAAGATGTATTTGTTACCACGCTCTGACTCTGGGAACGGTCCTGCTACATCTATCGCTATTCTCTCAAATGGAAGACCAACGTTGTACTGTTTCATGGGCCCTCGAGATCTTAGTTTAGGGCCTTTACTGGTAGCACAGATGTCGCATTTTCGGCACCAGCTTTTAACGTCTTCATGGTAGTGAACCCAGTAAAAACGTTCCCGAATTTTGTCCAAAGTCTTGTTAACTCCGAAATGTGCCCCTGAGGTTCCGTCGTGTATTTCTTTTAATACATCTTCCACTCGGTCTTTTGGGATTACCAGTTGGCTCTTAGTGGATTTCCCATCGGCACTTTCCCAAACTCTTTTGAGCAAACCATTTTCTACGGCCAGAGAGTTCCACTGGGCCCACAACGCCTTGTAAATCAAGCTTTTGTTTGACACTTCCCCCCATTCTGGCCTACATTCATCATTTTCTTTAAGAT